TTGAAGGCATTGCGGGTGTCTCCATCAAATTACGAATAAAACCCACTGGGGCCGCCCGTGTTCAGGATCGCGTGTGGCATTTTCAGTTCTCTTCGGCCCTGTGAGACGATCAGTCTGGCGTTCCCCTCTCAACTGAATCGAGAAAAAGCTGTGGTCCGGTGGTCAAGGGCTTTGCGTGTTGAGGAGAAAGCCAGAGATCGACTCCTCTTCACTTGGATTCCATGGTCTCAAATAACTGCTCTGCGACTTTTCTGGAAATGTACATGTTTGTGTGTAGTGTAGTGATCTTGAGAGCTTAAACATCCAGTTCGCCATAGAAATGACAAACAACAGGCAGCCTGTATGGCAGCCTAGAATCTACTAGAATGGCTGGCAATGCGCATCTTTCGGACGAATCTCCAAGTTTGAAGTCCCAATGGGCGGGGGAGTTTCATAGAATCTCCCAACGTCACCACGACTGCACGTCGAGATTGGGACGTGGATGTGACTTCCGGGTTGACATGCGTGTCATCGAATTGCATCGCTGTCTGAAGGCCTAAAAAGGCGCAAACGGCAAAGAGCTCTGAAAGAGTGAGCCACATGCAAAGGTCAAAGCAGGACGGAAAGCAGAAAACACTTCATTGAAGGCATTGCGGGTGTCTCCATCAAATTACGAATAAAACCCACTGGGGCCGCCCGCGTTCAGGATCGCGTGTGGCATTTTCAGTTCTCTTCAGCCCTGTGAGACGATCAGTCTGGCGTTCCCCTCTCAACTGAATCGAGAAAAAGCTGTGGTCCGGTGGTCAAGGGCTTTGCGTGTTGAGGAGAAGCTGCCTTCCAAGCTGGCTGGCACAGCGCAGCATTTATGGCCACTTGTCAATGTTGGTTTGGTCACTACAAGCCAAGTAGCCTGGCTGAAGCATGGTGTGACTTGCTCCAAAGGTGATGTTGTATTGCTGGACATTGCACATGGCACCAGGAAGTGGACTGCTGGAAAACTTCAATTGCATTTAGATGCTGGGCAGCCCATGTGTTTGGTATCCTTGTTTGAATGTTTGGAAATTGGTGCAAGGAATGAGCATGCTGTATGGCAAAGCCTTGCTGGCCAATCTGCTGCAAATTCCTTGTGCAAGGTTTTAATACCTTGCATCTATGCTCAAAATGGTGGAAAGATTACCACCCTGATTCCATTACCATGGAGATAAGGAGGCCTGCTTTAGACTTGCTGTGTTTTCCATTAGCAATATTGACTTTGTGCAGACTCCACCCCAGTCCTGCAAGTCATGCAAACAGCCCAGCTTTTCCATGCAGCCAATACAGGCCTTTCTGGCAACCATTGCAGGCTTTAAATGCAGCCACTACAAGCTTTTCATGCAATCAGCATTGCCAATTCATGGAACCTTCAACCATTACAAGCTATGCTTGCAATGCATGCAACCAGCCCAACCTTTCCATGCAGCCATTACAAGGTTTTCTTTCAGCCGTTACAGGCCTTTCATGCAATCAGCATTGCCAATTCATGGTCACAACGCAAGCCATTACGAGCTTTTCACGCAGCCATCACAGGCCTTTCATGCAATCAGCATTGCCAATTCATGGAAACAATGCAAGCCTGTTCATGGCTTCACTATTGTTTTGTTGTTGCACGCTGGCACTTGCTATATGGCAAGAATTCATGTGCAATGCAGTGTTTCACCTGTAGTGCGTGTGCAGTTTCACTTGCCAGATTATTGTGATTTCATGAGCAGAAAATCGCTGTTTTATTTAGTTAACTATTTAGCTAATCATTTAGCTAATCATTTAGTTAACCAATTAGCTAATCATTTAGCTAATTTTGTTAATTGATTATTAAATGATTAAAACTAACTATGTTAAACAAGTTAACTTGTTACTAAACACACAGCCCATCAAAGTAGCGTCCTTGCTCCTAGTAGCGATGCCCTTTGCTCCTAGTAGCGTCCTTGCTCCTAGTAGCGATGCCCTTTGCTCCTAGTAGCGTCCTTGCTCCTATGTGTCGTTTCTGCAATTTTTGTGCCTCCTTCGGGTCGCACTGGCTTCACTGCCCTCCGGAAAGGAACTCCGAGGTCAACAGGCAGTGACGCGAGGCGGCGCAGTGGGTCTCCCCGAATCAAGCTGAACTACGCTCCGATTTACCTCTCGTTGCTGGTTCCAGTACACTAGGGGCCTCCTAATACTGCAAGACTAACCAGTCATACCCCTAGTTTTGCTCCACTGACCTCCCCTCGGTGTTTCCTCACTCTGCACTTCTTCACGCTTGAGCCCGATACCATTTCCTCCCGGCTCCGAGAGCACAAGTTGCTGCTTCCCATAACCAACCCGCATCCTCGGGGGGGTACTACTGACACATTTTCCATTTAATCTGTGCGGGCGGCTTCTACCGCGAAGCGGTGTGAATAGAACGGGCGCAGGTGCCGCCGCTGGACTCATAGCCGAGAGCTCCTCTAGGCAACCCTAGGAGGTATCTAGGATGATGAAGAGGGAGGATGAAGCGACATCTTGGATCCTACAATTCGCTCAAACCAAATCAAAGACCAATAACTTATTATACATTTGGACTTCAACATTGCTAACCTCCCAGCGCAATTGCACCTTTGTGCAATGTACCTTGAAGGCGACTGACAAATGTTCCATTATGTTCCAAGAGGCCCATTGTATGGGCTGCACGATCGCCTTTGATGGCCAGCACCACTGCAGGACGACTGGGCAGAATCATCCTCACCGCCCATGCATGAGTCGTGGTTTTTGTGATGCTTCATGAAACGTTCATTTCGTCTTGTCTTGCCCATGTGTTTCGCTTCATGAACTCATCAATTCATGGTCTCCGTGCCGAGCCCCTCACGTCACGGCGGTGATCATCATGCCAGTGGCGACGCAAAGAGCTCTGGCCGAAGCTTCAGCGGGGCGCTGCCGTTCCTGGGGGCCCTCCTGGAGGGCTGGAGGAGGGGAGGAGGGGAGGTTCAAAAGCCCCATCATGTCACATGGACAACTGGTCCTTCGCCTCTTCATTGATTTCTGCTTCCTCATTGTCAGCCATGGCGACGGGCTGTCAGCCTGTGACTGATGAACCCCGCATGGTCTGCACTTTGGCAACCCGCGAGCTCGATGGTAGGGAAGGACTCTGCATTATTTCGGGTGTGACTTCGGTGGTCATGCGGTGGGTCACTCTTGAGAAGCATGACTGTTGCGGAGGTGGTACGTATGTGCTTGCGCAGACCTGCGGATCAAACCCCGGCCATCACATGGTGCCTCTCAATTTTCTGCATCTACATACTTGTTGTCGTTCTTTCATTGTCTATATTCTAACTATTTCTAAATTATTCAACTCCAAGCCCGTGTCGTGTGCCGTGAATCTGATTGGCTTGAACCACCCTGATCCATCCCGGTTTTAGGGGCGGACTCGGCGTCGGTCCATCCGTCTCAGGTGAGGTGTCCGTCAACCACTGAGTGACTTGCAGGGACTTTCAGCCGCCTGCAGCGCAGTCCCAGTTTTTTTCAACACCGGCCGGTGACTGACATGGTTCACGAACCGAGTCCAAGGTGATACCAAGCTCTTTGACTAATTCTATTGCTTGAAACTTACTTTTATCTGCAGTTCATGCCGAATACATAGTACAACATCACGTCTAAAACAGCGAGAAAAAGACACAAATAGAAGAGAGCATCAGTGGCCAAATTAAACAGCTTGCGAGCACACATCCTACCAGGATGCCTAAGTGGTGGTCTTGCGAAAGAAAAAGGGAAATAAAGAACACATGACATGAAGAAAAAGGGAAATAAAGAACACATGACATGAAGAAAAAGGAGAAACAAAGATAAAACCAGCAACATAAACACAAAGTTAAAAAAAAAGTTGAAAGGTAGAAATAAAGAAAAACAACAGAAAGAAAGGTAGCTGCAAAAGAACTATATAGGTCTTTGGTGCACCAACATATAAAGAAAACCTTGAGGAGCATTGTCTACACTAGCACTATACACCTCAGCAGCTATGCCTCATCGTCTGTAAACATCCCTCCAAAAACAGCATTCTTCTTCATGCGCCTCTCTATCTCATCCGCCAAACGTGCAATTGGGTCTGTGTATGCCTGGGACGCTGGACTTGAGAACACTTCGCGAGACGTTGCATCACATCTCCGGGTCTCATTCAGTTGACCGTGGACTAAATCCCAACAGATTCCTGTGATTCCGCAGCATGATCCAGAGTCCGAACACTCAGGATTACTCTGAGCATTAGCTCATGCCTTCTGTTGGGCTTTGAAACCATGCACCCACCATCCGCCTCCTTCGGCCTCCCTCCGGACTCCAGCACGACCCAAACGGGAACGAACGCCCAGGCACGGCGATGGCTGGAACGTCTTCTCCATCAGCTTCACTTCTCAGGAGCTCCTGAAGAAAAGGAGTTTTGAAGACTTAGGGTGACTTGATTCTTCTTCGCGGTTGAGATCATGAAAGCCATGAAAGCCATGAAGTTACCCACGGAGCAAAGCCATTGGTTGCGCCAGGGGTGGGCAATGAAGGCACTGGATCTCTTTGACACTTCTGAATCATTGCATGAGCTGTGTGACTGTGCAAAATGACGTACGAAGGCCATAGCTTGGACACTTTTTGGCTCCAAAAGCTTCCGCCCTGCGCTCCAGGAGAAGCAAGGCCAAGGTCAGCTTCTCATGGCAGGGGGCCTCCCAGCCGCCAGCCTCTGAGCCGAGCATGTTTTCGTGGGGTTTTCGTGCACAGGACCGGGTGGCTCCTGACGTCTGCAGTCGGACTGAAGGGCAAAAAGCTCACTCCTCTGTCGCACGGGGACTTCTCCTTTTTTCGACGTGGGATGACGTTGGCCAGCTCATGACGCATCAGTACGGTCATAGCTGATTTGCTGACGTCTGACAACTAGTGGTCAGTGCTTGGCGTAGACATGAAGGCCCAGCTGAAATCCAACTAGCCGCCTTCCTAGAGAGGCTGGTCTAGTATGGAAACATCGCAGGCACTAAACGTGCAGAGATTCTGGCTGGTGATGTTCGATAGAAGCACCCCAACCCTTTCCCACTCAAGCGAACACTCTCTATAGCCTAGCCCAAGTAAGTATAGGTCTTTGCTCCCGACTATGCCACTACCAGCCGCCCATCGAATTTCGCATTCGGCCCCGGAAACACGTCAGCTGTGGGGTTGCAAAAGGAAACGGCTGTTGCAATGTCGGCTCTCAAAACATGTGCAGCACTAGGGGACTGATTACAAGTACTGCTTCCGCACTGCAGCAAGTCTCAGTTGTGCGAAACAAAGCTGAATCACACAATGAGGTGGCAATGGACTATGGGCGTACCAGCCACGGCCAATCTTTCATTCCAAGGCAAAAAGGGCTAGGGACTGGGCTAGGGCTTTGATTTAACACTGAGACGATGTTCAACCAAAGGTTGCACACTTTGCTGACGGCCGGCGTGGCCCTTGTGACCACAGTGTCCACTTTCAAAGTGTGGACGCCTGACAAAGAGACATTTTTGCCAATCAGGACAGCATACTTCTCGCAAAGCCAAAGACTTTAGCAGGTGATGATGGTGGTCTTAAAACATCTTAAAACCCTTGCTTCGACTCAAGAACGCCCCCTAGGCTTTCTACAACTTGACCCTGTTGCGACCTAGTCTGACCTGTACAGCTTCGCACCGGTCGCACCGCTTGCGCCCGGTCAAAGCTCCGCTTGTGGCACGTTGACATCGCCTGCATGGCATCGGAACTGCGGACAGTCAGCGGTTCCCTGAACATCTCAGCGCCAAGTGGCTCTTGGAGTACCACTCCGAGCAAGTTTGCCTCCAACTACGTTTCCGGGCATCGCCGCACTTGACCCAAAGCTCGCAGGCAGTGTGCGTAAGCCTGCCGGTAGCGTGTCGGACATCTGGGGCCAGTCGGGTGAAAGTTCCTATGCGCCATCGGTGGGATGGCAGCAAGTATATAAGCGCCTATTGTGTTTGTTCTTTATGTCAACTTCACCTCACGCTTTTGGCATTTTGGGTCACGTCATGGTCCAGTGGCTTGACCGTTGATGCCAGGACTATGAAGGACTGCCCAGGGCAGTCATGAGGCCGCACATGGCCCATGTGCGGCCCACCCAAGAGACAGTCGTGCCTGTGGCATGTTGCCGGAGGGGTGTCGCAGTCGATCCATTCGATCATGCCCCGCTGTTTGTCCACTCCTCTGCGATCCACGGATGTCGACGGATGTCGAACCATCACCCGCCGGGGGGGAGACGGAGAGCAACGGCGGGTGCCACGGTGAGGTCGGTGCTACCCGGAGTCGAGACTCGGGGGGAGACCGAAAGAGCCAGCACATGATACCTACCATAGGGCCACAGACCGATCTAAGTGTGCGAACTCGAGGGTTCCCCATCAGATCATCACTTGATACATACCATAGGCCATAGATGGCCATAGATGGCCATAGGCGATATAGATGGCCTGTGAACACCCAGTGAACAATTCCGGCGATAATTGTTCATGGCTTTTTTCACTGCGATGCCTACGTCGATGGTACTAGACAACTCTGGGCCCCCCCTGGCGTGGCACAACGTCGTTGCTCGGCTGGATGACGGTGAAGCTGTCGTATAGGCCCTGCCTCAGCCAGGAAACCAATTGAAAAAAGGATGGAAAAAGGCGTCTGATTTGCGTCTTGGATTGATTCTATAACCCTTGCTCCAGTTTTTTTTTTGCAATGGACATCACTTGCCTCAAATTGAAATGGTGTGTTTGTCATGCTGCCGGTGGCCAAATCGATTTCTTAGACTTCTTAGAGCCAGGACTTCATAGGACCAGGCTCATCAAGATAGAGCCTTCCTGCATCTTCCTGCCTTGTCATTCATCTACTTGGTCGGTAGAAAGGAAATCCATCAATTTCATGACGAGTGACAATGTGCCCGAGTACTTCAGAACCTGATTCCAGTCGAGTCTTTCAACAATCAAGAAGCAAATTACATAAGGTGATCAAACATGAATATGCATCTTCCACTGCATCTTCCATATATATATATATATATTTAGCCGCTTTAGCCCTGGCATACGATGGTCAAAAGTCGACTCTGACTTTGGCTGAGTCGACACTTTCAGGCTTTTGGATGCGACAATCGACACTCAGCGTGAAACAGCATGAGTGTCGAAATTGAACATACATCTTCGGCAAGTATAGCTGCTCACAAAGAACTGGGACAAAGTCTTAGCAAACGCTTCTGGGAGCAATTGGGGCAGTTGCAATTGCCGAAACCTCTGCTTGTACCTCCAAAGTTCTAGGTGAAATAAATGGATTGTGCATGATTGCACTGGGCCTGGTAGTAGAGGCCAGGAGGAGAGAAACCGATGCCGTCCACTTTGATGACAGATGAGACAGCTCCAACTAAGGCACCTGTTAAGCACGACAAAGGAATCAAAGGAATCACATCTGCGGAATCGCTCAAATCCAAACAGCAACTCTTCATGTTTCACCAGCCTCCAAGGCTGTGGCCGGTCATGAGGAGGATTTCACCTTTGTCTCGTGCTTCCTTCTTATGCCTCGCCAGCAGCGTGACGTCTATAGCTCTACTCACCTTTTGTGTGCTATACGCTTTAAGAACTTGCTTCATATCTGCTAGCCTAGATTTCGGAAATCGCTTCCTTTCCGGTTTGGCAATCAACAACACTGCATTTTGGCAAGAGGGACGCGGACTCATCCAATTGTTTTGAAAGCGAGAAGGGTAGCAAGTTTGCAAAACACGCTCGCGTATTATATATCGTATTAGATACATACCTATGTATTATTACAGGAATATCATATCAAGTGACTCATGAGTCTCGACTAATTACATCTATGAACCAAATCGCACCTGGCTGCCGCGTGCTGCAAGCGATCCCAAATAGCTTTGTTCCCAAAGAGGGTGTTCGTCAGGTGGCTGTTCACCAACCTCCAAGAAAAGCCAAATGAAGCGACATGAAGAGACTGGAGACAAAGGTGGAGATGCTGATGTTGAGCCTCAAAAACGGCCTACCCTGCACAACCTTTGCTCTGAAAAAAACCTCTCAGGCCTTCTTGTGACGGACACCGGCATCAAAGAAAGCACTGGCCTGACCATGGTTGAGTCTGGAAGACGTGTCTAGAGCTAACAAGAAGCTACTAGTAGTCTTTGGACACTATTAGTTGGAGGCCATCGCTACTAGTAACAAGAAGCTACTTTGTCGTTATTTGGGAGTTATCGCCCCACCCGAACTAGTAGCTTCTTGCTCCTAGTAGCGATGGCCTCCAACCTACTTGCGAAGGCCTCCACCTACTAGCGTCCTTGCTACTAGTAGCTTCTTGTTCCTGCAGGTGAAACGGTTCCCAGTGAAACATAGTGAAACGTTTTTCAAGGAAGCTTCTTGCTACTAGTAGCTCTTTTTGACCACCCGGACCCGTTTTCTTTCAGCCAAGAGGCGTCAAGATGGCCATGAACTGTAGAACCTTGGCGACGCGAGTTGGGTCGACCATGGAGCCGAAGCATGAGTTGTAGAAATTGCAGGCGTTGACATCGTGAAGATGTCCAACTGAAGCGCCTTCTGAGTGCCCAACCGCCACTGATGAATAAAGCTTCAAATCAGCAAACCTTGGCGTTTCTCTGAGTGCAGCTAGAGGCGTCGAAAAACACCCGGCCTACCGAGCCTCTGAGAACCCCCAAGAGTCAGGCCCTCAGTTTTTGTTTTGAGGTGTTTGATCGACTCCGCTGGTCTCCCGTGAAAACGGACTCCTAAACCGTGGCCTCTACATCCTGGAGGTCACCATATTTCCGCTTCAAGTCTGCCAGATCTCCAAGCAACGCATCTTGGACGTTGGACGTGCCTCTCACTGAAATGACTCGCAGCTTCATCTTTGGAAGGGCAATCACCACCCAGCGACCCACGGTCCTCGGCCGAACGACGGAGTCGACTGGGTTTCCGGCGGACCGGTATCGGCCATCGGCCGTCGACGTCACCCCGTTGAAAGGTGCGGGTCGAGAGGCTCCATGACATGTCTCTTCAGGTGTTGGCCATGTCCCAAATCGTTTTCCGGCACGGGGATTGATGAAAGCTTGGCAATTGGTTTCAGAAATCCAGGGGAATCCAGGGAGCCCTGTCCCATGCGGTGATCAAATGGTTCATTGAGGCAAGGTTCCTTCCATCCTCAACCTCAAGCTGTGCAGCAAACCACTCCAATGACAAAGAAAGCAATGTCAGGCAAAAACCGAAATGAAGAGGTAGGGTGTCGAAAAACAACCGCTTAGGCGCTGCGGGCATGCGCTCCCTTTCTACCTGCGCAACCGGATCAGCTCAAGGCCTAGACAGCGACGGCATACGAGTGAAGTCCTCAAGGATTCTCAAGAGTGAACATGTCTTCATCAGCCTCACTTTCTTTCTTTTGGGGATACTTGGACTTCAACCGTTGCTCGGACTGTCTTCCAGCCTCTAACACTTCAGCTTCAACCTGAAGTCTGTACTGGGCGCTTTGCAAAAGCTCCATGAGAGGCATCTCGTGAGCCTGCGCCACCTTGGTGAGCATGTCAGACGGATTCCGGTTATGGGGAACCCACCTGATCCTTGACCTTGTCTTTGACATGCTGTCGCGGATCAGGGCAACTTCAAGAGCGGTTCGATCGCACTCCCCTTGGCTCTGCTCATTGGAAGCGGCATCGAAAATGCCTTTGCTGTCGATGATGGCCACCGACAGCGGGTCT